ACCTTCATTTGTCAATCAAAGTATTGCAAGGAGCTCCTAAAGAGATTTGAAATGGATGGCTCCAAAGCAATGGCTACCCCAATGAGCACCTCCGAGCACTTGGAAAAAGATGAAAAGGGTAAGGAAGTAGACGTAAAGAAGTATCGAGGTATGATCGGATCCCTTCTTTATCTTACCGCTAGTAGACCCGATATCATGTTTAGCGTTTGTTTATGTGCAAGGTATCAATCTTGTCCGAAAGAATCGCATTTAACGGCGGTAAAACGGATAATGAAGTATCTTGTTTGTACAATGAACGTTGGACTATGGTACCCCAAGGGGTCTCCTTGTCATCTTTTTGGCTATTCCGACTCGGACTTTTCCGGTTGTAGATTAGACCGTAAAAGTACGAGTGGGACGTGTCACTTGCTTGGTAGTTCTTTAGTCTCATGGTTTAGCAAGAAGCAAGTCAATGTTGCATTATCCACAACCGAAGCGGAATATGTTGCCGCCGGTAGTTGTTGTGCTCAAATCCTTTGGATGAAGCAACAACCTGTGGATTATGGCCTTAGTATCGATCACGTCCCTCTTCGATGTGATAATACTAGTGCCATAAGCTTGACGAAGAATCCAGTTCTTCACTCAAGGACGAAACATATTGACATTAGGCATCATTTCATTAGAGATCATGTTCTCAAAGGTGATGTCGAAATTGAGTTCGTTGAAACACACAACCAATTAGCCGACATTTTCACAAAACCTTTAGAGAAATAGTCGTTCTTCCACATTCTTAGTGAACTCGGAATCCTTGACTCAACGATGATCTAAGTTGTGCATTAGCTATCATTTCTTGGTCCTTACTAACTTGAACGTCGAAGACGTTTTTAATTCTTTTTTGCAAGGCTTTTCTTTTAAATTTTATTTTTCAGGTGTCAAAGTCAGGGGGAAGAAAGTAAATCTATTTTTTTTACCAGACTTTGTGTAAATCGATTGACAGGCTTGTGATAATCGACTATCACAGCCCGCAGAAGTTTGGAGCCAAGATACTGAAGGAGCTAACAATCGATTATCAACATTGAGATAATCAATTATCTGAGCCTGCAGAAGTTTGAGGAAACTTAGCTGGAGACATCAACAATCGATTTACAAAGAAAAACATGTAAATCGACTATTAAATCCTGCAGAAATTTTGAGGCAAATCAGCCACACTCTCCAACAATCGATTTACAACCAGGCAGAAATCGATTATTGAAGCCTGTAGTTTCTTTGACGGAGAATCTGAAGACTCAGATAATCGATTTACAGGGAGTGTAAATCGATTATCAACGGCGATTTTTCAAAAATCTGACCGTTGCAGAGACGTTGGAGGAGCATTTAAACCTTGTTTGACCATTCCAACGGATCTCTACACCTCTTCCACTATATATTGGTGATATCTACTCCATTTTTACTCATTCCAATCATCTCTTCTCCATATATTCATCACAATTCATCATTCTTGCTATTGTTCTTCAACTCTTAGCCAAATCTTTTGCAATTTTTCTCTTCTCCCTCTCTACTTTGTTGAAATGGCAGGAGGTCAAAGAAAAAGATCCCGCACCGGCAAGAACGTGGCTTCTCCCTCGGCTCCTCCACCACCGGTGCACCAATACCTCGACAGATCTTTCTTGTGGTTCAACAAATGCGTAGAGGCGACGCGGTTCTCGGAGAAGTTTGAGCACCGGGAAATTCTCACTCCCCGATTCTCCACCGCCCGCTTCATTCATGATTCCATTCTACGTGAGGCACGGGTTATCCTCGAACGTGGAAACTTCCTCGACCTCCTCTACATCAAAAAGGCTCATTATCACCCTTTTCTTGTTCGAGCTTTCTACTCGAACTTGAAAAAGGATGAGGACGGAGCGTTGATCTCTAACATCAACGGGGTGGACATTTATTTGAATGAGGAAAACATTCAAATCCTCACCGGGCTTCGTCAGGACGGACAAGATCTCGGGCTCTACGTTGGAGAAGAAGAAGCGCGGTTCAACGAGACCGCCCTCTTGGAGGAAGTGGGCATCTGAAACTTCGTCCCCACTCCCCAACAGCGGCGCCCTATGATTGCTTCCATGAGTCCCGTGTTTCGATTCATTTTTTATGTTTTGACACAGATTCTCAAGCCTAGGAAGTTCAATCACACCACTCTCTCCCAGGAGGACACGAAGACAATTCATGCGATGATTCACGACGCTAATCTCAATTGGTGTAAATTTGTGATGACTCACATGTTCACCGCCACCTCCGACAACCGGCCGCTCCCCTATGCTCTTCTCGTCATGGCAATCCTTGATGAGTTCCACATCAAGACAGACGTCGGGCCGAAATGCAAACGGACGAAGCATTGGGAGATTGATGAGTCCTCCTTCCACCCGGGAACCGATGAAGCTACGTTCCCGCAGCCTCGTCCTCGCCGCCAACCGAGAGCCACTGCCTCGACCGCCGCTGCTTCGACCAACCCTTCTCTTGCCGAGAAAATGGCAGCCTTGACCGCCACTCTCTCTCGGATTGACACCAACGTCTCCCAAACGGCCCAAAATGTAAATATTTTGAGTCGAGAGCTTCACGGGTACTTTTACTTTGTCAATTACCCTTACGCTCAAATGGTCCCCTACGCTCCTCCACCGAATGTTGGGGGTGCACCAAGCGGGACTAATAATGTTGATGGAGATGAAGAGGTGGACGATGAGGATGAGGAAGAAGAAGCCGAAGATGATGATGATGATGGCGATGGTGATGAAGATGAAGACGCTGAAGAAGAAGACATTGGCGAAGACCAACTTCTCAATGATCTTTCACCGGACTTCTAGAGATCTAGCTCTATTCCCTTCTCTTCTTTATTCTTTTTATGCTTTTTAAATTTGCTTCCGTTATGTACTACGCTATTTCCCTTAATTAATTAATAAAAATATTTATGGTTTTTGTTATCAAAAATCTTTTTGTTAATGTCAAAAGGGGGAAGATAAGGGCTATGCATATATTAAGGGGGAATGTTTTTAAAAATGATCAAAACCCCATGCATATCCCCGTCTTGTTTGCCATTATCAAAAAGGGGGAAATTGTTGGAACACACTTTGTACGATAAACTAAAGTCGTGTTCATTTCTGATAGGTTTTGATAATTACCAAACCGCCGTGGATATGAAGAGTTTCGTTGAATAACTCAAGGTGTGAAGAATGGCTTGGAACAAGACCAAAAAGACTCAAGGACAAGATCAAGAATTGAAGACTTAGTTGAGTCGGTCTTTTGTAATCAAAACCGACAATAAATTCAAGTCTCGGTTCTCAAAGAGTCAAAATAATTTTTACAAATCATAAAATATATTTTGTGCATCAAAATAAATATTTCTGATGATTTTTTTATTGATTAAAATCCCTGGTCCTTGTGTAATACCCCGTATCAAGATGAAAATGGGAAGAGCTCAAAAGGATTGATAGTACTACTCATACCAACAAGGTGCATCTTCTTTACGAGAGCTCATCACCTAAAAACACTCCAAAGTTAAGCGGGCATGGCTTGGAGCAATTTTACGATGGGTGACCCCCTGGGAAGTTTTCCTTGGGCGTGCACAAGTGAGGACAAAGTGTTCGGGAAAGACTTGTATAAACAAAAAAAGGGTTTATCCCATTTTGAGCTATAAAATGGCACCCAAATCCTCTCATTTTGCACACAATTCTTCAACATTTTCAATACTCTTTCATTGTATAAACATTCCTATTTTTCTTAGCTATTTGAGAGCCAATTCTTGAAGAAATTGTCGTGTTCTTGAGCATTTACTAGTTCACTCATATCTACTCTTTGTGAGAGTTTTATTCCTGAGTATTTAAGTGTTTTCATACACTTTAAGGGAGGTTGTTCCCTTGTTGTAAACTCGAAGGAAGTTCCTTGTTCCTTCGTGAGAAGTCTTGGAGTGCGGTATCTCCGAGCAAAGGCGTTGAGGCTCGTGTGACTCGAGTTCTCAAGTTGTATCGGTTTGTTGAGCACCTTTAAGCTTAACGGAGTTAGTGTAACTCGAGAGAGTCTCTCGAAAGGCTGTATTAGCCACACGTTGTGGTGA